GTGTTTGTTGAACTAAAGAATGAACGAGGACCGGGTGCGGTGGCTCACACCTATAATCCTAGCATTCTGGGAGGCCGAGAGGGGCTGATCGCTCAGGGTCAGGAGTTCAGAACCAGCCTAAGCAAGAGCAAGATCCCCTCTCTACTATAAATAGAAAGAAATCAATTGGCCAACTAAAAATATATAGAGAAAAAATTAGCAAGGCTTGGTGGCACATGCCTGTAGTCCCAGCTACTTGGGAGGCTGAGGCAGAAGGATTGCTTGAGCCCAGGAGTTTGAGATTGCTGTGAGCTAGGCTGATACCACGGCACTCTACCCCAAGCAAGAGAGTGAGACTCTGTCTCCAAAAAAAAAAAAAGAAAGAATGAATGAAATGTAGGATGCATCCTGTAGAAGGAGATAAGAATACTGATGATGCTATGCCAATCAATATTGATAATTGGGCCGGGCGCTGTGGCTCACGCCTGTAATCCTAGCTCTTGGGAGCCGAGGGGCGGATTGCTCAAGGTCAGGAGTTCAAAACCAGCCTGAGCAAGAGCGAGACCCCGTCTCACTATAAATAGAAAGAAATTAATTGGCCAACTGATATATATATAAAAATTAGCCGGCATAGTGGCGCATGCCTGTAGTCCCAGCTACTCGGGAGGCTGAGGCAGAAGGATCACTGAGCCCAGGAGTTTGAGGTTGCTGTGAGCTAGGCTGACGCCACGGCACTCACTCTAGCCTGGGCAACAAAGCGAGACTCTGTCTCAAAAAAAAAAAAAAAAAAAAAAATATTGATAATTAAGAATAGTCTCCATCGTTTCTGTCTGGGGACATTTATTAAATAGTATCTACAGTGTACATAGGCTTCAGATTTCTGTTTTTATTTCTTGAGTGCTTCCTAAAGCTAGTGAGTGTTCTGAAGTTCCCAGACAGAGCTAGTATTAGTTTGTATGTGAAAATAAGGAGACTTGAATTGTTATTAATAAGCATTTTAGTAGTGTAAACCATCTCATAATATGTTTTATAATCAGAGTTAAATATGACTCACATAAGTCATTAAAAGTGTCCATTGTATTATTACTTGCTCTTATACATATCCCCTTTGATTCTACATTTTGTTGATATAGGACAGAGATGGCAGGACTGTGGGAGAAAATGGTAGAATACAGTGGATGTGAGTTAGGTGTAAAATAATAGGACAATATTCTGGGTTGCATGTGAATACTAATTGATAACATTAAGACTTGAGGAAGGCAGAGAGAACCTAGGAGGAGGTAGTTGATGATAGGATGTAGTTGAAAGGAGGTAGTTGATGATAAAGAACATGAAGGAAGAAAGAAAGAAGGAATAAAGAGTGGTAGACCACACAAAAACTGCTTATAAAACAGTTATTTATATCTGTTCTGGTAGATAATGAAGATAATCTAGAAGATTAATTTCTTTATGGATCATGTGCAAATTCGAGATTATTTCTTCCTAACTATAGATTATAGCACAAAGTAAGAATTAGTTTAATGATAATATCCTTTTTTTTTCTTTTTCCTCCTTTTTTTTTTTAGACAGAGTCTCACTCAGTTGCCTGGGCTAGAGTGCCGTGGCATCAGCCTAGCTCACAGCAACCTCAAACTCCTGGGCTCAAGTGATCCTCTTGCCTCAGCCTACAGAGTAGCTGGGACTATACGCATGTGCCACCGTGCCCAGCTGATTTTAGTTAGCCAGTTAATTTGCTTTCTATTTTTAGTAGAGACCGGGTCTCGCTCTTGCTCAGGCTGGTTTTGAACTCTGACCTTCACTGACCTTGAGTGGTCCGCCTGCCTCAGCCTCCCAGAGTGCTAGGATTACGGGTGGGAGACACCACGCCCAGCCATGATAATTATCCTTGATGCTGGTATTTCTCTAGTTCTGCATATGTATCCACAGAGAATCATGAATAGCAGCAGTACTCTTGCCTCAGCCTCCTGAATAGCTAAGGTTGCAGTAGGCACCACCATGCCTCACTAATTTTTAAAATAGTTTTTGTGGAGATGGGGTGTTGCAACGTTGCCCAGGCTATTTTCAAACCCCTGGGCTTAAGTGAACCTTGGCCTCCCAAAGTGCTGGGATGACAGGTGTGAGCCACCACACTGGCCAGTATGTACAGTTCATACATCCTCAGATCACTTGGCTAAACCATAATCCTCTGACATCTTCAGTAGTAATTTCAATACTGTTTTCCAGTCTTGTGAAAATATTGAACCACTTTATTTTAAAGTTACAAAATACTATGGTTTGTTTTATTGAAATTATAGCAGTTATTTTGTAACTTTATCCATTAAACTCAATGAATGGTAAATATAGGTTGACTCTTAATGTGAAAATCCAAAATCCTTATCTTCTTTCGTGTGGACTGATGCTCAAAGGAAATTTCACTCATTAGAGGATTTTGGATTTTCAGATAAGGAATATTGAACCCGTATTAAGACGTGAAAATTTGGTGGTTATATATCTTTTATAAAGAATTATTTGTTGTATTTTACCTGCAATTGTATTTCAGAGAAATACTACTTAGTCCTATAATAATATGTTTACCATAACGTTAAGTGCACATTCATTTATTTTGAGGCAGTTTTAAATACTGGGAATGCTCTAGGAAGCAGGATGGATACAGTGCCTTTTAGGGAAGACCAGACAAATAAGGCAGAAGTTATACAAGTATAATCAATAATGTGGTATAGTATAAAGTACAGAGTGGTTAGCAACAGATCAGGAAGAAGAGATACGGAAGCTGAAACTTGAAGAGGGTGTAGAGGTGTGTTATTTAGAAAACAAACATGCCTGAAGGCCCACAGGGCAAAAAAAAATGTTTTTTGAATATGCCTTTTGACTAGAAGAGTAGAATGTGGAATGGAGGTAGGAGTTGAGATTTGAGGAGTAGGCTAGGGCCTGGTTTAGACTGTGGGGTTACATAAAGGGAATGAGCAGTTATTAAAGGGTCTTAAGAAGAGTAGTGACACAAATCAGATTTGTTTTAACCACTTTGGTACAGCACTCACTGGCCGCAAAACCTTGCCCACAGCCCGCACTCAGTCCGTACGATAGTTTGTGCTGTGTGTTGACGACGGATCTGTTTTGCTCTTGTGTGATGAGGAAAGCTTGAAAGCACTGAAAGCTTGTTTTACTTTACAGGCAGCTTTACTTGTAAGGTAAATCCGAATAGGTAACATATACATATATGTTTTCGTTACGTTATTTTTAAATGTTCACAATTTTATTTGATAAATGAAAAATTAGAAAAGTCATATCACGGCTATTGGCTAAAGTCAATGCTCGGTTCATCTGTGGCTATTGACTATAGTTGACTCGTACTGAAGTGGTTAAAGGGCTGTCGTTAGATTCAGTATGGAAAATGACTGGATAGGACAGAACAGAAGGTAAGGAGACTGTAGTAACCCAGGTGAAAAATAATAGTCTCCTTTAATGGGTTGGTGGTTCTGTGGATGCAGAGAAGTGTGGTATCATTGAAAGCAATAACATTATTTATTTTGAGAATAAAAAAGGATCAAACAGTGAGAGTGAAGGAGTAGAGAGTATCCTTAAAGTTTTAGATGCTTTGAAGCCATTGGTGACTTAAAGTGCTTCTTCAGATTGAGTATGAGTTAGTGAATGGATAGGAGGTGAAGAAGTAAAGACAGGTAGTATAGACATACCAAGAAATCACAAGAAGAGAGAAACAGAAACTATTTAGCTTCTTTTCATAAGTAGCGCAGATTTGGAGTGCACATTGAAGAGTACTTTATAAAAAATGCTTAGAACATTACTTGGCACATGGTAATTAATTTATTAGGTGTTAAAGAACTTGGGTTTAAGGCCGGGCGCTGTGGCTCACGCCTGTAATCCTAGCTCTTGGGAGGCCGAGGCGGGCGGATTGCTCAAGGTCAGGAGTTCAAAACCAGCCTGAGCAAGAGCGAGACCCCATCTCTACTATAAATAGAAAGAAATTAATTGGCCAATGATATATATATATAAAATTAGCTGGGCATGGTGGCGCATGCCTGTAGTCCCAGCTACTCGGGAGGCTGAGGCGGGAGGATCGCTTGAGCCCAGGAGTTTGAGGTTGCTGTGAGCTAGGCTGACGCCACGGCACTCACTCTAGCCTGGACAACAAAGTGAGACTCTGTCTCAAAAAAAAAAAATAAAAAAAAAAAATAAATAAAAAAAACAGGAGTTCAAAAAATAAAAATTAGCCAGATGTGGCAGCTACTTGGGAGGCAGAGGGAGGTAGGAGGATCACTTGAATCTAAGAGTTTGAGGTTACAGTGAGCTAAGATCATGCCACAGCACTCCAGCCTGGGTGACAGAGCAAGACTCTGTCTTCAAAGAAAAAAAAAAGACTTAGACTCTGGAACCAGATTGTGTCAGTTTGCACTTCGCTCTGTTAACTAGCTATTTGATTTGGGGTAAGTTTCTTAGACTCTAAGCTTCATTGTCTCTTCAGTGCCTGGCACATATTAATAGATCTTAAAATATTTGTTGAATTTTTTTAAAAAAGAGTTTGAGAAAAATTTCTACAGAAAAATTGATATTACAGCCACTTACTACTTGTGCTTCATGTATTGATTTTGCTTACTTTTTTCTTCAAACCTATTCTGTACTCTACCTCACACTAAAAAAGGTGCCACTTAGTATCTATATTTTGATTTTATGTGCTACCTTATTTACCCAAATGGATTTTAGTCTTTGTTATATTTTTCAAAGCAACTAGCATTATGGTAAGTAAATTGTAAGCTGCTACTAATTGTTGGGTTTGTTTGAATGTGGAGCATTGATTAAAAGGTTTAAAAAGAATTTATGTCAGTGACAACATTCAGTTTATTGAATGCTTTGTCTTCTACACCCGTCTGTTTACATTGGCAAAATTGATGTAATAGAAATATGGACTTTTTTTAATTCAAAGATTTCATTTTCTTGTAGTTCTACATAAACTACATATGTTTCCTTTCTGTTACTTAAAAACTTAAGTGTGCTTTATATTCTAGGTCCGGTTTATCACTAAAATATGGCATCCTAATATTAGCTCCGTCACAGGGGCTATTTGTTTGGATATCCTGAAAGATCAATGGTAAGAGATTTTGAATTCACCTTCTCTCCAAGACTATAAGAATGTTAAGTGTCTAATTGCTTCAGAACATATATTATCCTTTATCTTATTTGGGCAGTAACTTTATAAAATCCTTTAAGTACATAATTGAGAATATGTTATAATTGAGATCACAATCTATATTTAAATAGATAATGTCAGATTCTACCTTTACATTTAGAAAAGTCTTGGATTTCATTTGTTATTTTGGTAAATTTGATTCTTCGCTATCTCAGGAAGATATTTGTGAAAGATTTAAAAAAGTAAGTATTGAAGTAGTCATCTTCCACTTAGATGAAATGTAAGCAACAAAATTGTTAGAAGTTGTTTTTATTGAGCACAGTTAAGGTTCTCAGTTTCCAACAAGGAGAGTCTTTGTAGGTGGTACATTCATTTGCATAATAGCACTTTATAGTACTTTCACTTGGTTTGTCTGATTTGATCATAGCAGCATAGTATTTTAAGAATTCCTACTCTGGAGCCATCAGGTTCAGATTTCATCTCTGCCGTTTACTAAGCTGTGTGGTCATGAGCAAAGTTTGTGTGCCTTAGTTTCCTCATCTGTAAAATGGGGTTAATACCTACTTCATAGGGTTGAGAGGATTAAATAAGTGGTTTCACGTAATTCTTTTAGAATAGAGCCTGGCCTTTTCTTTTCCTTTTCCCTTTCCCTTTTTTTTTTTTTTTTTTTTTTTTTGAGACAGAGTCTCACTTTGTTGCCCAGGCTAGAGTGAGTGCCATGGCATCAGCCTAGCTCACAGCAACCTCAAACTCCTGGGCTCAAGCCATCCTCCTGCCTCAGCCTCCCGAGTAGCCGGGACTACAGGCATGCGCCACCATGCCCAGCTAATTTTTTCTATATATATTAATTGGCCAATTAATTTGTTTCTATTTTTAGTAGAGACGGGAGTCTCACTCTTGCTCAGGCTGGTTTTGAACTCCTGACCTTGAGCAATCCACGCGCCTCGGTCTCCCAGAGTGCTAGGATTACAGGCGTGAGCCACCGTGCTGGCCTTTCCTTTCCCTTTCCTTTTGTTTTCCTTTTCCTTTTCCCTGTCTCACTTTGTTTCCTGGGCTAGAGTGCTGTGGCATCAGCCTCGCTCACTCACAGCTACCTCAAACTCCTGGGCTCAAGCAGTCCTTCTCCCTCAGCCTCCTAAATAGCTGCAAACTACAGGCATGTGCCACCATGCCCAGCTACAATATATATATATTTCTTAGTTGTCCAGCTAATTTCTTTCTATTTTTTTAGTAAAAATGGGATCTCGCTTTTGCTCAGGCTGGTCTCAAACTCCTGAGCTCAAATGATCCTCCCACCTTGGCCTCTCAGAGTGCTACTGTAGGATTACAAGTGTGAGCTACCACGACCGGCCAGGATACTGTCAAACATTGAACAGGGTGGAATAGACTTTATCTTCTGTCATCTGACTTGTGACATTAGCCAATTTATCAAACTTGTAGGCCTCAGTGTTTTTATCTGTGAAGTTATCTCCAGGGCTTCTTATAGCTCTGTGATTCAATGATATGAATGCATATTTGCAGTATTAAAGACATCATACTTTTTCCATTTGGCCTTCAGTACTTTGGTTTTTCTCTTGTCCCCTTTCTATGCTCATTCCCAGACTACTTAACTAGTTCTTGCTGGATATCCTGGATCTTTGTGCTTTAGAATGCCTCAGGGATAATTCATAGATCTCTCTGCTCCTTTCTATCTATACTCACTTCGTAGGTGAGCTCATCTGACTTCATAACTTACCATTATATGTTTCATATGCACAAATTTATCCTTCCTGAACTTCATACTCCTATCCTGCTGCTTGCTTAATATCTGTACTTGAATATGTGCTGAACATCTCAAATATTTCTCAAAAACTGAACTGATAATTCTCCTAACCACTAAAACCTGTATCTTCATATAGTCTTCCCTTTCCATGTTACTGGCACCTGTGTCCTTGAATTTGTTCTGGCAAAAACCACATCATGATACTCTGCACCCTGTTTACAAATCTATTGGGCGAAACCTACAAAATCTTATCAGCAGCTTTGCTACCACCCTGGTCCAAAAACACATTACCTCTTGCCTGGATGATTGCATTAGCCTCCCTCCCTGCTTCGGGCTTTGACCTACTCAGGCTGTTCTCAAGAGCCAGAATGGAACCTTAAAAACAAATAAAGTTTGCAGTCTAAAACTTCCCATTGACTTCTCTGTTTGCTCAAAGTTGAGCCAGCAGTACTACTACTTCTAATTATCTCCCTGTAGCTAGTTCAAAGATTATTGTGTGTATATATAGGAAAAGAACTGGAATTTTTTTATCAAAACATTTTTAAATCAACCATTCCCTTTTCCTAAGGCAGGTGAATAGTCTTGTTTCGTATCTGTACAATTGAAGTATTTAAAAATATTGGGGAAGAGGTTATCATGGAGATGAAGGATCAAAAAATTAATTCTGGTGTACAACCTCTGGGTACACTAAAGCCCTGACATCACCACTATACAAATCGTCCATGTAACAAAAATCTACTTATACCCCCTAAATCTATTGAAATTAAAAAAAAAAAGATGCTGAAAATTATCAAAGACACATCAGATAAAGTAGGTGAGACTGGATATTCATGGAGTCATCTCTCCCCACCAGCTTTACTGAAGTATAATTGACATTTAGTGGATATCCATATTTAAATACTTAGCCTTAAGTACTGCAATTTGATATAGAGAAAAACATTTAGGCTAATAATAGGAAAAATGAATTACATAAACATTGAATAATTTGGGGCAAGTATGCTACAAAATAATTGCTTAATCTTGGTGGTTTTGTTTGGGTTTTTTTGACAGTCACACAGGCTAGAGTAATGTGGCTTCAACCAAGCTTGCAGTAACCTCAAACTCCTGGGCTCAAGCAATCCTCCTTTCTCAGCCTCCCAAGTAGCTGGGACTGTAGGTATGCACCACCATCACCATACCTGGCTTATTTTTTTCTATTTTTAGTAGGGATGGGGTCTCAATCTGGCTGAGACTGGTCTTAAACTCCTGACCTCAAGCAGTCCTCCTGCCTCAGCCTCCTAGAGTGCTAGGATTATAGGCCTGAGCCACTGCGCCTGACCGAATCTTGGTGTTTTATATTAATGCATGTAGGGGTGGTGATTTACCATTATTAATATTTAACAACTTATTTTAATTAGGTTTATCTCTTAACTCCACAACTACCCTATGTGGAAACTATTTTCTGATGTTTTTCCATTTACTGAAGGTGTCTGTTTGCCTGGGGAAGAAAATGACAACATGTAAAAATTTCAATCAGTGATACTGTTCTTCCAAGAAACACATATAGGCACTAGAGAATATCTAGATGGTCAGTATGCTATTCTCAGCATGATTAGTCACCAGGGAAAGGCAGATTAAATCATAATTAGATATCACTACATACTGGTAATGATACACAATTCATGCATCGCTAGTAAGAATATATATAGTTTAACGACTTAAAACCAGTAATATCTACCAAAGCTCAACATACATCTTTAGTATGGACTAGCAGCTTCACTCCTAGGAACATATCCAAGAGAAATGAATGCCTGTTTTCATCTTTTAAAAGACTTATGTAAATGCCAGGTGCCATGGCTCACACGTGTAATCCCAGCACTTTGGGAGGCTGAGGCAAGAGAATAGTTTAAGGCCAGTTCCAGACCAGCCTAGGCTGGCGAGACCCCATCTCTGTAAGAATAAAAATTTTAAAAAGTTAGCCTGTAGGACTACAGGCACATGCTACTGTGGGAGGCTGGAAATGCTCTATTGATAGAGTGACAGTGACATGAGTGTATACATGTAAAAATTGATCCACCTATACAGCATCTTACTCTTTATACTTCAGTAAAAGATTACAATAGTTGGTACAATGGCACAGGCCTGTATAGTTCCTGTTCCTCTGGTGGCTAAGGCGAGAGGATAGCTTGAGCCCGAATTTCTGGACTGTACTGCACTATGCCAGTTGGGTGTTTGCACTATGTTTGCCATCAATGTGGTGACCTCCCAGGAGCGGGGAACCACCATGTTGCTTAAGGAGGGGTGAACTGGCCCACTGCCACTGCCCTCTAGCCTCGGTAACATGGTGAGACCTTGTCTCTTAAGAAAATAATAAAAATTAATTTAAAAACCTGCTATTCTCTTCTAGAAGCATTCAGTGTTTTGAATGAACATTGATTAATTATTGATGATCTGGTGAAAGATACTTAATAAAAGTCAGTCAATGGTATGAACAATTCACATGATTATTCTACATGTTGAATCCTTGTGAATGAATAAGTAGCCATATTAACTATGCTTTATTGATTTGAGACTTGATAGCCTGGCGAGGTGGCTCACACCTGTAATCCTAGCACTCTGGGAGGCCGAGGTGGTAGGATCCCTTGAGTTCAGGAGTTTGAGACCAGCCTGAGCAAGAGCGAAAACCCATCTTTGCTAAAAATAGAAAAATTAGCCAGACAGGGTGACATACGCCTGTATTCCTAGCTACTCGGGAGTCTGAGGGAGGAAGATGACTTGAGCCCAGGAGTTTGACGTTGCTGTGAGCTAGGCTAACACCATGGCACTCTAGCCTAGGCAACAGCATGAGACTCTGTCTCCAAAACAAAAGCAAAGAGATTTGAGAAAAATTAATTTACTGAAAATAGATTTATGAGGTACTGATTTATTCATATTATCTACTAATTAATAAAAATTAGCTAACACATTTTGAAATTCATATTCCTGCTTGACTATTAGGATTTGTTTTAATAGATTTAAACTAATTTTATACACTGAATCCTACAAATCTCAATGCAGTACGGATTTAATCAGTACTTTGTGGGAAGAATAAATGGAATAAAAAATTGTTTTCAGTTGTATACTTTTTCACATTACTAAGTTGAGATTTTAAAATTAATGTAGAACATTCCACATACATTTCTTTTTTTTTTTTTTTTTTTCGAGCTAGGCTGACACCACG